AAATAAATAAATAAATTCCCGCAGAAAATATATAAATTTTCAAAATAAACCAGTAAAAACTGAATTTCTATTCTATTTCTTCTTCTTTCAGGGAAATGGTTGAAATCTTTTTCGTGAAGTATTCATAGAAAGAAAAGTCACGCTGGAGCAGTGATTAAAATGCGTTCGTTTGTTTATTTAAGAGACGGAGATTTGTTTTATGTTATTTCGATCTTTCTCTCTGGAGTAACTCGATAGATTTGTCAGGTTGTTTTGGCCGCAGTGGCTATAGTGGAGCGTTTCAAAAGTCCTCGATCTAGCAGTCACGAAGCAGCACAAGGAAGAATAACAACACATGAAAAGATTAAGCTTATTATATTATGAAGAAAAATCATACACCTGTAAACGATGGACGTGCTTCAGAATTAGCCGTGTTCATTTTATTAATCTTGTGTGGTGCATACCGAAAGCCACATCTGTAGTAGCCGCCTTAGTAACATAGATGTTGGACCTTACTTCAGCTAGTACAAGATCAGGGGCCGGATTATCAAAACATGCTAAGTATACGTAGCCGCTAACGTTTAGCGTAAGTACAGCTAAGTAGACGTGACTCTACTGAGTGTTATTATCGAAACATTTGCGCGGGAAGCTACGTACAAAAAGTTGTGCATAACTGTACGCCTGCTCGGAGGTGTCGTAAGCGGAGTTACGTACAAATTTTGAGCGTTGAAGCAATATGAGACTATTAATTTACTAGCAGCAAGTTGAATTGTAATAGAATTTTGTCAATAATGAGACTTGGGTATAATATGGGATCGTGCTAGTGCTTTTAGGAAAAAATATTCAATTGAGTTTATACCAGAAGCTAATTTGTTTTCCTCTTGTGTTTCAATTTACAAGCAAATGTTGATATTCATGTTCAAGAGTTTTATGCCTTTTGATTCAAAATATCTTCATGCCTTTTTGATTCAAAATTATGTGGAGGTTGACAAGCCAACCATTTTTTTAGCTCCGTACACATATTTTTTGCCCTGATTGCAAGAAATTTTGATGAATGATCACAAAAACAAGTGCATTGCTATTTGGATAACGTCACACTTATTTCTCCATATGCACCCTACTCAGTCTACGCTGATGCCGCTGACACGACACAACCTCCTTCCATTCACGCGCTCTGCGCACTGAGTCGACAGGAGCTAGGAACAGCAAATCCAAAGCCTCTGATTGGTCAGTTAGTACGTAACTACGTACTAACTGTACGTAACTTTTTGTGTAACGTGTAACGTAACTTTTTGAACGTAAGTACGAAAAGTTACGTGAACTTAGCGAAGTTTCGTTAATCTCTGCCCATGTCTGAGCGGCTGAGAGTCGGTTAGCCAGTTAGCCAGTCGTGTCTCGCCAGCCATATAGATAGGTTACATTCCTGAAGAGGAAATTTGGTTTTTCTGGTGAGTTAACCTAACTAAATTCGTGGGTACAAGAGACTGATGTGCAGTCTATGGCCGCGATTTATGACGCGCTGTTTCCAGTTATCTGAGTAACTAAATACAAGGACAAGAAGCCTTTCGGTAATAAATCATTCTTCGAATCCTGGCTGCTCGCGAATTTTGGGAGTGCAATGAGACTCAAGACTCGACAGGGACCACTGAGGGATGAAACGCTTCGGTGCAGGATGAAAATAAAACTAGGATTTAGCCAGCCTTAGAATCGTGGACGAAACGTAATGTTGAAGCCGTAACGAAGTGGAAGCATTGCGGTACGCTCACGCCGTTATTACAGACGAAAATGAATGGTTATCAACAACTTAACATGGTAGACCAAACGTCAAACCTAGACCAAATCCAAGACGACTTTGGGGATGTGTGTATCTGTCCACCCAATTCGAAGCCAGGTTTGAAAGGCAGCCCAACAGTGTTGGTATTGTCGTAGACTCGTAGTGTAAATTTTCTTTGAGAAGCAATCAATTTTGTTGCCAACGAAATGCCCATATTTTTAAAATGGCGTATGTTGGAAATTCCATGTCAGAAAGGGAGATGAAATGATCGGGTGTGGGTGAACTTGTGTGACTTCTCCTATTGGCAGAGTTATTTCAAGGATTATTTGCAACGGGCTTACGCGCAGAACCAGTTCTAGCCAACAAAAGGCTGATTTCAGCTGTGGTGCTACTATTAAGCCGTGTCCTCGATAGTTGCGGAGCTCTCTAATCACTTGCTGCATCAGGTAGTGTGACGGAACTGAGACTTGGTTCCAGGTGTTCCAGTACTTTGAGAGTGCATCCGTCACTTGCCGCTGGGTGGCGGAACTTGCAGCAGTAGACCTTCAGTTTGCAGCAGAGTGGAATTTGAGGAAGCACTGAAGAGAAAATTTCGCCTCCATAAGTGAGTCAGCCGCAAAAGTTGGTCGTAGTGACCCACTTTTTAAAGTTCTTGCAGCAGCAGCTGCGGCAAAACAACAAGTGAGTCAAAGATATTGACCGTTTGACTCAGTTGGCTTCAAGCCTCCCTGGAAGGATTGAAAGGTGGAACATTGCTTTATTCTTGTCGAGCAAAGAGATCCCAGTAGTGCAAATTTCTACCACAATTGCAATCAAACGAGCATAATCAAATAAACCCAACTTTTTGTCCTTGCTAAGGGCTGGCATAACTATGTAAAAAAAGTCCCTCGTCATGTCCATTGTTGTATGATTCCCACTGCGGTTGCCAGATGTCGTTTCAACTAGGGAGAGCTGAAAAAAAGTTTAATTGCGCACATATATTCTCCTAGTATTAGAAGAAGTTACGTATTTTATCGCCAAAATCATTCATTGGCAGCTGGCAAGTTACATAAAGTGTTATTTAGTATGAATAAATATTGCTTTGCAATATTTAGTAGTCTCCGTTAAGCCGTGGTCGAGAGAGGACGCTCGTGCTCGTGGTCCCAAATTTCGAAATTTGTAACTTTTTACTGTGCCGTTTTCGGAACTCTTTTCGCATTTTTTTATGATCCGTGCCAGAGAATAACCGAATTTCAGTTCAGTTCAGTGAAGTCAGTAAAAGAGAGTGCAAATTGAATGAACAAGCCAAACAAGTGAAAGTGTTTTCATTTTTAAATAACGCGGACTTGTAGAGTCAGTAGAGGGTTGCCGCGAGGGTAACGCCCACGCCCTGGCCCACGCGGGACAATAAGCCTTTGTTCTCGCGCCTACCTCTTCCAGCTCTTCCCTTGAACACCTAAGCCGCTGAGATCGCCGCTCTCTGAAAGCCGCTTGCTCTCAAATCTGTAACAATTTTGAACAATCAAACAATTTGTACAATTTTTACTCAACTTGATTTCGGTTTTTTAACTTGTGTTTATCTAGCTCTGGCATTTCAAGATGGCTGGTCAGAGAGGAAAAAGATTAATTGAGAAGGCTTCCAGTCCTGTTAAACCGAATGCGAAAATCAAATCGCAAAATGAGCGAGAGGAAATTTGTAAATTTTGCAAGCTGGTTTCGATTAACGTCAATGACGCTACAGTGGCCTGTGATCGCTGCGGGGATATCGTCTGCATCATTTGTGCAAAGTTGAGCAAGACAGACTGCGCGGTTATTCGTGAAAACAAGTCAGTACACTGGTTTGCCAGGACTGCCAACAACCTGCACTTAGCGCTGTAAAAAGCGAAAAAATGGTGGAAGAGAAGTGCTCTTCTATGTTTTCTGTTTTTAAAGCCGAAATTGAAGAAACCAACAAGCAAGAGTTTAGAAAGAGAGCCGAACTGGAGGTGAACCACAAGAAAGAATTGAGCTTGTTGCGTAGCGAATTACACTCGTTACGAAACGAGCTGGTGGAAATGAAAGCTAATCTGCAAAGACGAAGCTATGCAGGAGCATATGTTCAGTCTTAAAATGCCTAGCAAATTACGGACCAGGCAATAAGTCCAGCAGCTAGCTCAATCAATCGACAGCTATGGAAAGATCGGGTTCAAAAGGCCGGATCCCTTGTGAATCAAGTCACGAAAAGTTCAAGAATCGGCAACAGGCCATGGGCCTATTTCTTCAGCGCCGACACTTCTATTCTATTCTACTGGATATTGGCTAGTTGGCAACCGTCGACCGAACGTGCGCGGCAGGTGCCATATTTCTCAAGTGTTGGTGGCTTGTTGTTTTCGATTGGAGCAACCTCATCATTCGTCGCTGTTTAAAGTTACGCCTAAAAAAATATTATACTCTCAGTAATATGAAATTTATGTTACGGATGGCTAAGGCCACTTTAGTTGTCAACTTGCTATTTGCCATCACAGTTAAGAATGTTGAGTTGACCAAAGTCAAGCGTCAGTGTCCGGCGGAGTGCCATGTGACTACGTTAGACAATGCAGAATTGACAGTGACTATATCATATGTCAGTGTGTCACTACCAAGAGAGAAATGTAATTGAGTGCATACAAGAGATGTGTATTTATATTTTCAATGCATATTCCACGTGGAAATATGATTGAATTGTTCGGAATTCTGATGTGTTGGGACATAGTGGCAAAGCAGAGAGTTTTTTTAGACTCCTTCAAGTTCATTTTTGAGTCCTATAAGTAGACAAGCAAAGTATCATGGATACCAGCATTATCATACATAAGAAATAGGTTTAAATCTTGAGTAAATGAGGAAATTAAAAATGAACTGATTCTAAAAAATTTCTGGTTTGTCACTATGTGTTGGGAATTGGAATAGTGGAATGACAATGTTGGCAAACATCAAGTCATCAACCAGTTTCACTGTCAAGTTGGGGCTTGGCCGCTTGGGCATACATTAGTAATTGAATGAACTATGAACAGAAGTGATTTTTTTGTCTACTGTCTACTAGTACTTATAGTTTATAAATACTTCAATCTTAGTGAATAAATGTAAAAAAATTTCCTTCATACCCTCAAATTCAACCTCCTTTTTATTTAAATTGGAACTGTAACATGGTAATGATGGTATGATGGGGTGGGGGCCAGGGGCAAAGCAGACTCTTAGTCTTAGTACTCTTAGCATAGACTTTCTAATTTTATAGCTTCTTCATTTTTGACTTTATTCCATTTACTAGATACCTTTTTACTTTTTGATAGATATACCAGAATTATCATACGTATGAAGATAATGTTAAAATTTCAAAGAAGTAAGGCTGTCGCTGTAAAGGAAATCAAGTTTCAAGATGAACTGGTTTCTTACAAATATCTTGTTTGCGGTTTTGCCTCTATAGCCTATAACTTTCAAGTTAGTCACTATAAAAATGTGAAGAAGACATCTCCAAGTTCTCTGACTTAGAAAAATACCTTGGTAAGTGAAAATAAAGCCCTATATTATATCATTTTGAATTTGTTTGAATGTAAAATATGATCTTGTAGCAGTGAAATTGTGCAAATAATTATTTTGGTTTTGAGTTATTATTCTAATTCATATGAAATTATTTGAAAATTTTCAACATACTTAATTGCCATATTTACATTTTTATTTAAATTGTGAGTTAATGGAAAGAATTAAAGTTATAAACAAATAAGTCTTTCTTTCAGTTTTTGATTATTGTCTTATAGCACTGCAGTGTGGAATTCTAGAGGGATATTAAATTAACCAGTACACATAGCATATTGGAAAGCAGGACCTGAAAGCTTGGAAAGGCCAGGAACTTTCCACTTTCAGTCCATCATATACATAACCTATCACTTTCCAGCTGTGATTGGTTGATGGGATTGGGATTTTAGGCCCTTCCAGCTTTCCAGCTGTGATTGGTTATTGGAATTGTAATGTTATCTGCTTTCTAGCTGTAATTGGTTGATGGAGATGCTTTCAAGCTGTGATTGGTTGTGCCCATAAGCCCTGCCCCCAAATATGGTATATGTCTACACTCTACAGTACTGGTTAACTAAACAGGTACTCAACTTGAACTTGATCATTACAAACAAAAAGCCTGGATAATTTTCAAAAAATCCATTAAATAAAAGAAAAATAGAAAATATCTGTCAAACAATTTTACAACAAATCTGAGCCTCTGAGGTACTGTACAATTGAAACAGTTTGTCCACTTTTGATCCTCCTTTTCATTTATAGTCAGTCACCTGGCACTTGACAGAGCACTGTTACTGTATCTAAGGAAAGCATTCCACCTTGGGTGGAAAGCTTTTTTATAAGTGAACTTCCATTTCTAGAATTCCACCCTGAGACCATCACTTTTTTTGAAATTACATAAAGACTATGAGAGGCAGGAGCCAGCAATTTATGGTGAGTGAAGCTAGAGTATAGACCTGTATTTTGCATGTTTCAATTCAAGTTTAACTTAGCTAGTAAAAAAATGGTATCATTTATATAAAAAAGTGGTCTAAGTTACCCCATTTTACGGTATACCAGGATGGTCTGTTGCAATTTGAAACTCTTCTCTCTCGTTTTACCTGTAGCATTTAATTTTTGTTGTCATATAATTAGGCACCAAATTGCACCTCAAATGTCCTTTGTGGTATTGAGTCCAAATTGGCAAATACTAGTTTGTTTTTTTAATTATTATATGCAAATATTAGCAAAAAATAAAAAATTGGGCCCAATACTTGACATAATATGGCAAGGTTGCACTGGGGAGCTGCCACCTACACATCTGAGCTGGTTTTTTTACCATAAAATACATGGATTTAAAAAAACTAGAGTGAAAAGTACCTGTGAAAAAATTAATAAGGATTGCATTTAAGTAATTCTATGGTTTTAAATTTCAGAATACAATAACACAGCCAACAAGGAAATATCTATCAAGCCTTCTTGAATAAACACAGTCATCATGATCTCTTATATGTTTAGAGTAAGCCTCTATAAAAACCCATATCTATTTGAGTCCTAAAAAACCCACCCATTATAAAATTTCATAGAATTATTAGGTTGTCTAACTTGCTCTAGTCATACAGGACCTATAACAATTATATATAATAACAAGAGTGACCACCAGATATCATCGTATCAAAGATCATTCTGGAATTTTGAAATTACTGTATCCTTATTTTTAGTTGATTTTATAGCAATTTTTGTCCAACTGTTGCTAGAGAGATGCACTTCACAGAGGTTTTTTGTAACTGTTTTACCTTAGCCCCACCTAAATTGTAGGTTTTATATCAATTTCATTTTTGATATTAATTGAATTTAAAAACTAATTTCTCTATGTATAGTGGTAAGAAACCCACACCAGTCCTAAAGAAGCAATTAATTATTCAAAAATATTTACATACACTATGCTTCTTGAAACTATAAATTGATGTTTTGTATTTTGTTCTGTGATAACTAACTTGAAAGTCCATAAATCATTTTCAAGAAAATTAGATATTACTGAAAGCCTACAGGCAAGTGTGTGAACCACACTCAAACAATAAAATAACATAGGCATATATTTACTCAAATAGAGATGAATTAAAATAGTAAAATCTCAAAATGTTAGGAAAAAATGCTGGTAATGGAAAGAGAAGATCAAGCCCTTTATTCATGTAGGTATTATTTTTAAAGACATATATAATGTATTCAGAAATTTTGGCATGTGGGCTTTTTCCTACACATTGGGTTTTTTAACAACATGTGGGTTTTTTAAATTTCTCATAATTTAGCTTCCTAATTAAGAACAACTAGCAATACTATGCTGTAAAATTTTGAGCGAGTGTAATAGTAGAAGCCTCAAGATTTGGCAATAAATTTCAAAGTGACAAATAAATGAATTTAAAAGTAAAGAAAATGTCACATAAATTTACCATATCACATTAACTCAGATTAAATAACATTTTTTTCTTGGAAATTGTCATGCAAGTTATACAGGTTCCAAGTAGGATTGTTTCATTGACCAAGTATTTTAGGATGTAGTGTTCAATAAACTGAATTATACTCTTATTTGTTGATTTTAGAGAGTCGTCAGATATGAAATGAAATAACTTGCCCATTGTTATTGTATTGTTATTCACAGATACGTTGCTGCAAAGGAGTTCTCTTCCACCTGTCATCCCATCTCAGGGTAAACTTCAGCTGAGCCATACACCAATGCTACACCAGCATCAAATTCAAATGAAGTTAGTATTGTCAATCTACTGGAACTTTGATGTTACTAGTTTACTCACCAATTCCAATAGCATCAATAACAGCTTATGCTATACATAGATCAACTAGATGAATAATCTATATCTAATCTTGGTATATTCCACTAAAAAATTTTGCTATATTAAAAAAAAAATCATGGGTTATTTACATGCTGTGAAGAAGCATGGTGTAAAAAATAAAAAAAAATATGTGAACCAAAATTAATGTAAAACATGAGAGCAAGTGAAATGCTATTTTAGCAAGGTATCAATCTATGAGCATACCTATTGAGCGATTAGGTTAGCTTGTTGAATCTGCTACTGTGATAACATTCGTCTTTATATTGCAGAAACTGGTAACTCATCTTATGAAGTCAATTCCAGAGGTCTCCTGCACTTGTGCCACTTCAAGTTCAAGATGAAGCTAAATTCAAGCTCAGTTCCCGTTGGTGTTACTGCATGGACCTCCTGCCGCTGTCCTTCCTTTTGGCTCTCGTGGGATATTTTTGCTACCGTCACTGCAGACCAGCAGAGTGGTGAAAATGTGAGATAGGCAGCACGTGTGACAGGCGAAACAGGCAGCAAGTGTTACAGGCGAGACAGGCAGCAAGTGTGACTTTCGAGACAGTGATCGAGTATGCGTAACAGGCGAGTCAGTATTCATGCTTGAAGGGCGAGTCGGTTTGCATGCGTGACAGGAGAGTCAGTTCGCATGCATGAAAGGCGATTCAGTTTGCATGTGTGACAGGCGAGTCGGTTTGCATGCGTGACAGGCCAGTCAGTTCTATAGTATAAATAATAATAGCGGTTTCAGCGTTTATTAGGCCGTAGGCCTGTCGCCGATTCTTAACATCGCAGAATATTCACAGCATTTTGAGGTCTCGAACTTGCAACTCACTGCTACAATTCTGCTGTGCTTAACCGCCCGGCCTCCTCGCCGATTCTGACCAGAAACTTTCGCACAGAGCTGGGATCGAACCCGCGCCTCTCTAGGGTGTCAATCTTGGTACTCTGAACTTTAACCACTGGGCCACCATGCATGAAAATTCTCACAGTTCTCATGCATGAAAAGCGAGTCAGTTTGCATGTGTGACAGGCGAATGAGTTTGCATTCATGTTCGACAGGCAAGTCTGTTTACATGCGTGGCAGGCGAGTCGGTTTGCATGCGTGATCGACAGGCGGGTCAGTTTGCATGCGTGAAAGGCGGGACAGTTTTGATGCGTGATCGACAGACAAGGATGTTTACATGTGTGACAGGCGAGACAGTTTGCATTCGTGACAGACGAGACAGTTAACACGTATGACTGGCAACACAGGCGAGAATTTGCAAGAATGGTAGGCGAGACTGACTGCCACTTTTTCCAGAACTAGGTGTAAGAGCCAGCATCTTGCAGCGTGGCAGCGGTTAGCAAATAGAGGTAACAGACTAAAAAAATATGCATCATTTTTTATGTAAGAGCAGTTGCCCAATAAACAATGTTTGCTAATTGTTTGAGTTTAATTCTTCCACCTTTATTCCTCTCACATATTGCTTATGGTTCACGAAAATTCGGATCCAAGTGCAGTAGGAGAGTGAGCATAAGTGAGTCATCGGATGATTTAAAGGCCCAGAAGTAGGTCAGCATGACCCCACAAAAGCCCAAAGTGAGTAACGTAAGTAAATCAACTTCGGGACGGACCATGACTCACCTAAGTGGATCATCCAGACCCACCCATTTCTCTCAGTGTACGCTTACAATAATTCTATTATAAGACGAACAATAAAAAAATTTAGCAATGCACAAGTGCAAGATGATCTTCTACAACATTGTCATGCGCTGTAAAGTTTGTTAGCACGTAAGATCAGTTATCTCCTGTCGATGACATATTTTGTTTTACTGTGAATCAGCGATGATTATTTTCTCACCGTGAATGACAAGGAGGGCAAATAATGGAGTGAATTCACTTCCCTGCCCCCCCCCCACAGAAGTTGGAGTACCGCAGCGAGAACGTGCCTCACTCTTTTAATGTTGAAACGGTCGCTAGCGTGTTCCATCACGTCAGTATGGGTGACAATAGTTACCATGGATGATGGAAGAAAATCAGCGACGAGTTTGCGATGATAATTTCCCTTAGGATAAAAACTTACTTTTAACATTAAATGGTTTACAAAAACCTTTTCAGCATAGCCAAGCTCGAGGACAGCTTCTCAAGCACGACTTACCACTTCCTCTGCATCCTTGATCAAGTCCAAGACAGAACAATACAACTTCCGATTCTTTAGTCTTAACGAATGCGATCCACTTACGGTCTTAAGTGGTTCGTACAAGGTCGTGCAGCTAATGTCACTCAGGTACAGGGTTTCTGGCAGCGCCATGCACAGTATCGAAGTCGGCGGGCCAAAACTCCTGTAAATACATATTTTAGTACACATCCACTGACTAACAGAGTTCCACAATATTTTATAAATAACATTTTAGGGTGATGATACAAAGCAATAGAGATCCTAACGTCCGTAAAAATAAACCAATTGCTTATAGTGCTCTTATTTTCCCGCAGAAAAATCTTAATGCGACATAAGCGGTTAGCGGCCGCGTTCTTTCTCAAGTCTCTACTTTTTTTCGACGTGAGCTTCATGACCATAAACCACCAGCACAGAGCTTGGATATGACCAGTCATTCAGTCCCCAGCTCTAATGTTCTCTGTCAACCGTGAAATCTTTCTCCAAAGATTCTCCTCTACTTAATTAAAAAAAAATATTAAGTGTTCCACCAAAAGAAAACTATATCATATAATTATTAACCATTGCTTGAGGACCAAGCCCTAATGAAGCCTTCACCGTTTCAAATTATCTGCGGATTACTGCTACTATACCTCTGCCGACGGGCATCCCAACGTGAGAATTGTCTATTGATACGTCGCAGTTGGATGCATCATAGCTAGATACATCACTACTCGATACATCATATTCTGTACAATTTTCTGCTTGCTCCATTCACACTTATTTCCTTTATCTATATTGTTTCTGCGTACGCGCTCGTGTGAAAAAAATTCTTTTCGAACTTATCTCGAATTAGCATTGAGAAAAAAATTCCTAACTTCATTTGATAATTGAAACTCTTCATAATCTAGTGGTAACCTTAAAATTTCGAGACATTTCATATACGGATTTCCTTTTTATATAATCAAAGAAGAAAAGGAATATTTGTCCATTAATTAAATTAATTAAAAAAACATTCAAGGCATATATTTATTCCCACTGACTTTCCTCTTTATAACAAAATTCACAATCTTTCTTTTTATTTTTCTTGCGGTCTTGTTAGAACTCTCTTGCCCACGCAGTGTCCAAATTTTTATTTCAGTTGGAGACCACTTTGTGGCGCGACTTCGATGAATTTAATGATTTTCGTTTGCCACAGATTTTATTTCACACCGCATTTCATTGGCATCACAGCAGCAGGCTGCAGTTCAAAAAATATCATTAGAATTATTGTGTGATAAAATAATATCGTTTGTGTAGAAATGTCTTAAATAACCGGTAAGCTTGTTATCGATGTGACAACACTTGCGCAAAATTTTCTATTTTGGAATTTGCGTAAAATTTCTTATTTTATTATTCTTATTTTATTATTATTCTTAAAATTTCTTATTTATTTAATCATGCAATTATTATGATATAACCTCATCATAATTATAAAACAATACAATCAATATTAGCATCGGTCTGTTTAAACAAGTGTATTTCACTGCTAAAGCAAGTGCTAGCAAAATGACAGACTTTTAACTTGAATGATTTCTTAACGACTGCTTATTTAATCACAATGCTTATTGATTGATAAGTTTAAAGCGAGTAAATCATCTCATTTAAATTAAAACGCAACTCATATATTAGAGTGCGAAACTTCAATCAAGGTTTTGCGAGTGCAAAAATTACTAAAAAAATTATTATAAAGTATTTTATGTTCTGATAAGCAATAACATCAACAATTAGTTTCAATTAACGGTCGATATATCAGTAGAGGAGTGAAGCCATGCTGCAACCAGCGCAGAGAAGATAAGGTGAACGCATTTAATTTGTCCAGGAACAAACTATAGGTGCTTGGTGAGCATCTAGGTGCTTGGTGAGCATCTAGGTGCTTGGTGAGGGCATCTAGGTGCTTGGTGAGAGCATCTAGGTGCTTGGTGAGGGCATCTAGGTGCTTGGTGAGAGCATCTAGGATATGGAAAAATATATGTTCAGATTTGAAATGCCTATTTCCTTATCGAACCCGGTGGAAGTCTAGTAGCTACTTCAAACTATCAAGGCACGAAAAGGAAAAGAATCGGCGACAGGCCACATCAGGCCTACACTTCAGCGCCGACATCACTATGTTATGTTATGTTATATCTAAGAGAAGGACATCTTGGGTGTCCTGGACTTCGGCACAGGTGTTGCCAAGTCCTCTTGAGTCTTCGGTCTTGTGCTGAACTTTACGAGAACAGAAAGTTCACGCTCGGGAAAAAACACAGGCATTAATATTGGTATATTAACAGAATAAATTGAAACGGAATAATAACCCGACTATAAGTGGTTCAGACCAATGTCATTACGCTACGTTAAATTTGCGCTTTGTTAGAGGATAGCCATTAATATGATCATTTACGTTAAATGAACTTGTATTAATTAGTCTTGGTCATGTAAGCGAAAGAATTGGTTCACATAGAGTGCCAAGGTACTTAAGGTACATTCAGAGAAAATTAGCCTCCATATGTGAGTCAGCCGCAAAAGTGAGTCGTAGTGACCAATTTTCTAAAGTTCTTGCAGCAGCAGCTGCGGCAAAACAACAAGTGAGTCAAAGATATTGACCGCTTGACTCAGTTGGCTTCAAGCCTCCCTGGAAGGATTGAAAGGTGGAGCATTGCTTTATTCTTGTTTGACTTTGCTGAGCAAAGAGATCCCAGTAGTGCAAATTTTTACCACAATTGCAATCAAACGAACATAATCGATAAAACCCAACTTTTTGTCCGTGCTAAGGGCTGGCAAAATTATGTAAAAAAGTCCTCGTCATTTCCATTGTTGTGTGATGCCCACTGCGGTTGCCAGATGTCGTTTCAACTAGATAGAGCTAAAAAAAACAAAATGTTTAATTGCGCACCCATATTCTCCTAGTATTAGAATAAGTTAAGTATTTTATCGCCAAAATCATTCATTGGCAGCTGGCAAGTTACATAAAAAGTGTTATTTAATATGAATAAATATTGCTTTGCTACTGGATATTGGCTAGTTGGCAACCGTCGACCGAACGTGCGCGGCAGGCGCCATATTTCTCAAGTGTTGGCGGCTTGTCGTTTTTGGATTGCAGCAACCTCATTATTCGTTGCTGTTTAAATTTACGCCTAAAAATATATTATACTCACAATAATTTGAAATTTATGTTACGGGTGGCTAAGGACACTTTAGTTGTCAACTTGCTATTTGCCATCACAGTTGAGACTGTTAAGGTG